ACTCGAGACCGGTGAGTGGTGCAGGTGTCGCTCATTATCAATTACTCCACCGGCCTCGCTCCGTTCCCACGGCTCTCGGCCCCGCCCCCACTCGTCACAGCGCATAATAAATGCTAAATATTAAAAAAGATAAAATGGTAATATTTTAATAAGGTTAAATTCGTTAACATTAGTTAATGCATTAAGTATCATAAACTAACAGTGAACAACTGTCATTTGTATTGCATTTATTCCTGTATGTTAATGTTAATTTAATGTTAAATATACTTGTTGGTTGTTAATTTATGTTTCAAAAATAAGATTTAAAAAGAAAAGAAAATTCATACATTTATTTAGCAAGGATGCATTAATCAAAAGTGACAGTAAAGACATTTATAGTATTACAAAAGATTTCTATTTAAAATTAATGCCTTTTTTAAATGTTCTGTTCATCAAAAAACTCCTTAATCATGGTTTTCACAAAAATATTAAGCAGCACAGTTTTCAATATGTTTTGAACATTTATATATATATATATATATAAAAGTTATTTAAAATTGTAATAATATTTCAGAAAATTACAATTTTTACTGTATTTTTGATCAGATAAATGCAGAATAAGAGATCTTTTGAAATGCAAATGTTTGAACGGTAGTGTACATTGTGGTAATATTCATTTGTTCAAATTAATATGATAGTATATGTTGAAATTAACAACCATGATTCATAAATATGTATTATTTATTGATATTTTATGTTAAATAGGTTAAATAGTACATTAGCTAATGTTAAAAAAGTGCTACCATAAAGTGCTCCGATTAAAATAACAGAATGAGATCTAAGTTCTCATAAAGGCTCAATTCATGTTGTTTTCCCACAGACTCTCAGCGAGCTCACCGAGCTCCTGTCGTCCTACAGCAACTATTCAAACTACAGGCGCTTGTACAACGAATGCACTGGATTCAAGGTGCCCATCTTGGGTGTTCATCTCAAAGACCTGATCTCCCTCAACGAGGCACTGCCAGACTACCTTGAGGACGATAAGATCAACCTGGGGAAACTGCAGCATTTATACAGCAACATTAGCGACTTGTTGGCCATCCATGACTGCACCCCACCGTTTGAGGCCAACAAAGACCTGCTGCACCTGCTAACGGTGAGACAGAGGGAAAACGGTGGTTTGAGAGGGATTTGTTGTCAGACGAATGTGTTACTGGAAAGCCTCTCTTCTCGGAAATGTTTGTTGTGCCCCATGTTATGGGTTTTGAATACCTGACTAGGCCCCATCAGTACACAGAATAAGTGTGCCTATTTAGAAGCATGTAAACATGCCTTTATTTCATTTCCACAGAGGGCCTGCATCTATTTATTTTTAAGTCGAAATTAGTATTTTTAAAATCAGCCCTCATCTGGTTGTGGTTATGTTCGGCTGTTTGTGTGTGACACTGAGAGATGTGGATTGCAAACAGTGGGCGTCCTCTCATGTGTAACCGTTCTGCCCCGCCTTGCCCACAGCTCTCGCTAGACTTGTGTTATACGGAGGACGAGATATATGAGCTCTCCTACACCAAGGAGCCCAAGAACCCCAAAATTCAGGTGAGGCCCTCAAAATAAACATTGCACTGTAAATTGTGTACATATATGGCCTTGCTATAGGTCATGTTCAGGATTCAATCAAACCCCTAGGCCCTGTAAAAAAAAATAATAATTTTAAGTTGTAAATAAAACAAAAAATATTGGAGGATGTTTTATAAGAAAATACTATTTCAGTCTTTTATGCTTAATCCAATGTTACTTGCTGTTTCTTTGTTATTAATTGTGAAATTTACTAGCAATTTCTGAGTGACAATTGTTTAGTTTCAATGACGTTTCTTATACGTATAATTAGGGCTGTGCAAAAAATCGAATGCGACAATGAATCGCCAGCGATTTTGAACGCGATTTTGTGTAACTTGTCAGTGAACTACAGCTCTGTGTAGTAAATGCCGCTCCATCTGAACGCACGTGCTGGAGATTTACTACTAATCACCAGAAGCGGCTTTACTGACGAGATTCGCATTCGATTTTTTGCCAACCCCTACTTATAATAATTTAGATACAATTTATGTATTTCTTATATATTAATTTATTAAATATATATTAATTTATTTAAAAATATATATTAAAAATGCCATTAACACATGCATAGAAAAAATGGTGCAGGATTTACTTGGGTAACAATTTTCACTCAGAAATTACTAGTAAATTTCACAATTAATTACAAAGAAATGACAAGTAACACATTGAAATAAATATGAAATTTTGAAATAGAAAGACTGAAATAGTAGTTCCTTATATTCCAAGTAATAACAAGCAATAAAATCAGAATTTTTGAGAAAGAGATTAATTTTTGGCTGCAATAATCATTCTGTGAGTTTTACGAAAAATAACAGACGAAAAATCCCACAGACAAATACCATATATAGACCATCATATCATAGAGAACCGGAGGTGTGCTCTTTTTACATGGAGCAGCGAGAAACCAGTAGGAACACTGTAGCAACCACATAGAAACGCCCTTAAAACCACTCAGAACACCCTGGTAACCTCAAACAGCACCCTGGCATTATTGCCCTTACGAAAATTACCTATGTTTTTTTGGCGTATTGATTACCATTTGTATAACCACAGATTTACTGCAAATACCACGGTTAAACTATGGTTAGTGTGGCAAAACCATGGTTAATTTGTAGTTACCATGGTTTAACTACAGTAACCATGTTTGTTTGTTTGTTTGTTTTTTGTAGTAAAACCATGGTTGATTTTCGTAACGGTGGGAACAAGCAGCACCTCGGTTTTCTACAGAATGTACGAAAATATAGTTGTCTCTAACATCTAAAGACTGCATATACAAACGTTGACTTATTTTACATATGCAACAGGCTGCCATTCATGACTTGGCCAGTATTTTCATATAGTCTGACCTTGTATGTGACCTGTTTATAGACAGGGAGTATCCCGTGCTAATGTGTGGGTACAGGGCTCAGCGCACTCCTCTTTGTGCAAACACACTTCAAAGAAAACCACAAAAAAGACACATTGCTGAAAGACGCACGATCGTTATCTTTGTCGCTTTCAGTGTGGGTGTCGTTACGTGCAAGCTTTTTTGATTATTTCCTATAAAGCCTCTGCCTGTGACAGCATTCGCGTTTTACAAATAAACCAGCATCATTTGTATAGTGTTTTCACAGCAACGTTTCTCAGTTGCTAGTCTTATGCGAGTTGGTGTTGAGTGTCAAAACAAAACTGTCATGTCTCTAACCACCCTTTGCTGTAGCCCGTAGCTCCGGTAAAGCCCCCAGTGGTAGCAGAGTGGGGATCGGGAGTGACTCCGCGTCTGGATCCCGCCACCATCTCGAAACACGTTAAACAGATGGTGGATGTAAGTGAGAAACGTGTTTATTCCCACTTTTAGGGCCAGTTCCTTAGTGTGACACTGCGACGGCCGGTTCCTGGCTGTCCACTCTCACTTCCTTAACAGCGTGTGGGCCCTTCAAGCCCAAATGTCACATTTTAGATGTCAGCGTCTTACATTAAAGAACACAATGATTGTGTTGCCCCCTACAGTCTATCATGAAGAATTATGATTTGAACATGGACGGCTACATTTCTCTGGAGGACTTTGAGAAGATCGCTGCAAATTTCCCTTTCTCTTTCTGCACACACGAGAGCGATAGGTAAGATGAGGCCTTTTACTCTCTGATAGACGCGACTTTTGAGAACATACAAGGTTGTGTTTATGACAGAAATGAATATTTACTCTTTAGTTTAAAAGTTTGGGGTCGGTAAGATGTTTTGATGTTTTGAAAAGGAGTCTCTAATGCATTTATTTGATCAATATTATTACCATTTAAAATGACTGTTTTAAATTGTATTACATATTAAAATCTTATTTGTTCCTGTGATGCATAGCTGAAATTTCAGCAGTCATTACTCCAGTTTTCAGTGTCCCATGATCCTTCAGAAATCATTCTAATATGCTGATTTCAGAAATATTTCTCATTATCATCAGTGTTGAGAACTGTTTTGCTGCTTAATATTTTTATGGAAAACTTGATACATTTTTATCTGGATCCTTTGATGAATAGAAAGTTTAAAAGAACAGCATTCATTTGAAATTGAAATCTTTTGTAGCATTATTAAAAAGAAGAAGAAAAGAAACATACCGACCCCAAACCCCATAAACTTTTTCTATGATGAACATACTTTCATTTTCTGAAGCCATCTTTTATATTAACGAAAACACGCCTCATTAAAAGGCTTAAGTATAAAAATACGTATTTAAATAAGTTGGTATTTATTTATATTTATTTGTTTGTTTGCTTTCCTTTGTTTTTTTTTAAAGGCAGATGAAGTTTTATTTGCTAAATTAAAGTGAGTGAGTGTGGTGAAACCAACATGCAGGAAGCCATTCTGTTGTCATGTGACAGAGAAAAACATAAAACAGGAAATACAGTATCACAGGGGACCCCTGTAGACCTTTGAAATATACAAATTTTTTTTAGCCTTTTTATGGCATGGCAAAGTTAGCTCAGGTTTTCTAACCCCAAGAAAACGTCATTATATTCTATATTTAAAATTGTAGGATATGATATTTAAAAAAATAAATAAAATAAACCTCTTACCTTAAAATGTATACACCCACAGTGTTCATTTGTTTGTTTGTTTAACGATTTATCACTTTCAGTGTACTGATGGAAACTACTGCTTAAAAAAATGTGATAAGAGCAATTAATTTTATTTGATTGTTTCTAGGCCTGATTGACTTACTGTATGTTAAATTCTTTAAATGAATCAAATCAGTTCTCATCATGCTTTATTTATTTTTCAGGGAAGGAGAGATCAGTAGAGCGGAAATCACTTCATATTTCATGCGTGGGATGTCAGTGTGTGCTAAGCTCGGCTTCAACCTCCACAACCTCCACAACTTCCATGAGACCACGTACAAAAGGCCCACATTCTGCGACACCTGCGGAGGATTTGTGAGTGTTTAAACTGTGGACCAAGGGACTTGTGCAATTTTGACTTGTCTAAATTGTCTAACTTTTTTTCCTCTATTTTCCATTAGTTATGGGGAGTCATAAAGCAGGGCTACCACTGCAAAGGTTAGAACATACAGTACTGATCAATATACTGTCACCTCTGCACCAGCGTAACCCTGCTGCCCCTCTCTCTCTGCAGACTGCGGAGTAAACTGTCATAAGCACTGTAAGGATGTGGTGGGAATGGAGTGTATTAAGAGGTTCCAGGTGACCAGTAGCTCTTGTCCCTGCACCCCGGGCCCCGTATCAAGCCTCCACACTAAGGGCAACAGCTGGAGTGAGTTTTTTATATCAGTCTTGATACATTAAGGCAAAATAACCCCCAACAAAGTGATCATAGCAAAGAGGGGCCTTGTGCTCTTCCTGAAGAGGTTAATTTTGTGATAATGACTTTTTGACTGTAAACAATACCATTTATTGAATGCTTATTTGTGACCCTGGACCACAAAACCAGTCTTAAGTCGCTGGGGTATATTTGTAGCAATAGCCAAAAATGCATTGTATGGGTCAAAATTATAGATTTTTCTTTTATGCCAAAAATCATTAGGATATTAAGTAAAGATATTTTGTAAGTTTCCTACCGTAAATATATCAAAACTTAATTTTTGATTAGTAATATGCATTGCTAAGAACTTCATTTGGACAACTTTAAAGGAGATTTTCTCAATATTTTAGATTTTTTTTTGCACCCTCAGATTCCAGATTTTCAAATAGTTGTATCTCGGCCAAATATTGTCCAATTCTAACAAACCATACATCAAACCATGTATAAATCTCAATTTTGAAAAAACTGACACTTATGACTGGTTTTGTGGTCCAGGGTCACATTTATCAAATGAATCAGTTAAATAAAATTATGAAATTTAAGAATTATTTTATTATGCACCAAGAATGAGACCATGGGGTGATCATGAAACATGAAACTACCACAGCTGAAGTAAATGCAACACACTCTCATGGTAATCTGTAACTATTTTATATTTTGAGGAATTGGTGGTGAATTCGAACATTTTCGAAATTCGTACATTTACATACGAACTAATTAAATTCAGGTTTAGGGGTAGATCTTCATGGTTGCTTTTTTTGCCTTAAATTTTTTTTTTTTAGAAACAATTGAAAATACCACCTTATAAAATAGTTACGTTATCGCATGAGATTGGGTTGGGAAACCGATGTCAGGACCATCTGTGATCATACAAATGTGGAAGAAATATTAAGAATAGTATGCTTTTTCCAAATTCTGCCATTGTTTATTTTTTTTTCTGTGACGATGTATTTCTTATTGAAATAGGAAGTTTGGTTGGGCTTATCCTCATCTATTTATCAATTTTAAATGCAAGTTATTGAACTTATTGTGATTGATTGAACCATGCATTCCATTTTTACTGACCCTCATAATTTTTCTTAAACTGTCTTCAAGCTTTTAGCCCACTTACACCCCGCCGCTAAATTCAATTTCAATCTCGCATTCACATCAGCCTCCATCCAAATCAACAACCAATAGACAGAATCAAGTCCCGCCCTACTTTTTTATTTTATTTTTGATAAATCGCTTCACTTGGATGTACAACAGGGAAGTCTGTCGCTACTTCAGTTACACTGCAACACTAAAATAGCTAATAATAGGCTTTACGTACATTATGTCATAGATATGAACTATTACTTGCTACATGCTTTCGATTGTAAATGGGATTGGAGGTGTTGTAATTCTAGAAACTGTTTGATTGGAGAGAAGATTATATAGTCCAGAATGTCACGCACAAGTCCTTAATGAATTGTTAGACTAGCAGATGATTTACATGTTTTCCCGCCTTTCAATCAGGTTCTGAAGAGGAAGCATTTGTCTTTCCTAATGGAAATGGATCTGAACACACCAAGGGCCAAACTTCATCAGACAGCGACGCAGAGGCGGCCACACTATCCGACAGGTCCACTCAGACGGACCCAGTAGATTGGACACCGGTGGCCAAACAGAAAGATCGTCTTCCTTCCCAGAAACAACATCCACCCCTTGAAAAGGTATTTCCATGAAGCACTTTTTTTTTCCAACTACATTCTCTACTTTTTCACAGCGAGTATGGTGGATATTTTCAAAAAATACATTGCATAGAAAGCTAATTTGGTGAGCAAGACTGGGTAGCATACACGTTTTGAAACTAACGTTACCTACCTGCCTTATCATCCCAGAGCGCTACGCTACCAGCAAGGGTGCGAGGTTCATCTGCCCCTAGTTCTCTCCTACAGGAGAAAATGGATGAAATGAAGCTGAACAAAGATAAACGAAAGGAACCAGACTGAACTAGTCTGTGCATGTGGCCGTTTGTTTGTGTGGGGTGGAACTGTTAAATACACTGGACAGAAAAGACTGAAGAACATGTCCTCGTCTTTCTCGCCAACTGTCTTGTTCTATTGTCTTCAACAGATTGTTCATGACGTTCATTAAATGTGATGCAATTCTACCCAGAAGGGATTTTATTTAAGGAATTACTGCTCCCACAGGGCTCTTTAAAACCCTGTCGGTGGATCCGTACGGTAAGAACTCTCTATGCACCAGCGTCAACTGCCAGTGAGGACCAGATCAATGGACTTCACATTTCCACAAGCACTCAAAGGTGGATGACTGCTACATCATCAATCTCACTACCACTCATCTTTATATGAGACAGACGGACTGCCTTACCTTTGTCATGAAGAGCGAGGTTCAGTTCAATTAATACAAAACTGTTGCCTTAATATTCACACTGATGGAAAATATACACTGTGAACAACTGTATTGAACTCGAACAGCAAGAATGTACCTCCTCTGTTAAGGGACGTGATTTCGGTGCTGATATAATACCCACAATGCATCACTGTGCCTTATGTAATGAACAATTCATTGAGTAGGAGACAAAGGGTATTATATCACTGTTTATTTCAGACAATAGTCCTGTCTCAATTCAAAAAGATCACAATCTGCTTTATTAGTGCTCTTGTCCATTCGGTGTATTAGAGCAGGAGCATTAATGAAAAAAAGAGCGGGAGAGTGACATTAAGGGTCGATTCAAACAAACACTGTGGACCTATTTTAAACTGTTTTTCTTATATGTTTTCTGTTAGATCTTTTGTCATCTCCAACTTGAATGTCTGTTTTACTAAATCTTGAGTTTAGGCTATAGATTTTTATTTATTGAGGAATGATAAAGCTTACGTATTTTCCATAAAGCACTGCCTGATGTGATTAAAATATAAATTAAAAAGTGATTGAGATGCTTCATTCATTTCATGAGTCCGGCTATATATAACAACACTATTGTACATCATGTTTGTATCTTAAATCATCATCAGAGTCACGGTGGTGTTCTATAATTTAATTCTCAAAGCAAAACTGGACTGGACAGGACAGAACAAATAACATCCACAAAGAACATCAAGAACTAAACATTTCAGAGAAAAATGCAGTACATTCTCAGCCATGATGATCATCGACACTCTTAAAATCAGCTAGCATTTTGGATTATCAGGAAGAATAAAACTTTTTAGTTCTCAACACAACATTCTTCATCTTCTCATCTTGTGTGGTTGCGATGGCAACGAGTATATCAAACTAAACAACTACAATTTAAACAAAAAAACATGCTTTTTACGGTCACGTCTTAACGTGTTAAATTAAGGCTCATGATAGTTGATATGAAAAGCATCTACATTCCAAATTAAATGGAATTTAGGCAAAACAAAACTTGTTTTTGGCAAAAAAAAACAATCAGTGTTGAGGAAACATCTCAGTTTTTACACCTGCAGGCTGTTTGTGGTACTACAACAAGAAGCACCTCGCAATAAAAATATCTTTCACATATACTAGACATCAGTCATATCTCTGCTCTTATTTCAAACTCAGGGGTTTGGTGGTACTAACTAGTATAATCATATCAGTAAAGTTTATACGGAGTCTTTTAGCTCAAAACAATCATTAACTTATAACAGTCAGCTTACTATGTTTTGGAAAAATGTGCAACTGGTTTAACAAGATGTACAAAAGAGAAAATAAATGAAATGATGGTAGTTAAAGGGGAAGGATGTATTGTAAGTAGAGAAGCGTGGCGTGTGTGTGTGATTACGGAGGTGCTTCCTGATTACTGTGAGCCGTGTGAGCTCTGGCTGCCCTGCTGTTCAGAGTAATTCCCATATTGAGCGTAGTACTGGTTCCACTGGCTCTGATTCTGATAATACTGCTGCCACTGCTGCGCATACTGAAGAAAAACATCACGCATTAATAAAAGGACATATTTTACCACTTCTACATGTTGATCTTTATGAATATAGTTTTACATTTCAATCATCTCATCTAATAATGACAAAATGTGTTTAAATGTTACAAGACAAAAACGATTTTACAACACATTCAAGGAATATTTAAAAATAAAGTAAACTCTATCAACAGCTGCTGTGGCATGCAGACAATTACAAAGTCATTCAGTTTATAAAAAAAGGACAGAAATTGCATTTACAGTAATGCATTACAATCTAAGTCAGACAAGTGTCTCACTCAGAGGGTTTAAAAGCAGAAAGCTTGTATTGTTGTTACTCAAGGTTATTCAATAAAAACACTGAATGTTATATCACATTATTATTATTCCTAGTTTAATCATATGGAAACCAAGCCAAAATAACTCTAAGCTGGTTCTGAGTGAAAGGATTCGCTACAACAGACAAGCTTAGTAATCGATTCCATAACATTAGACTCAAGCTTGTTCTAATAATGTTTAAATGTGGTCACTTTTTTTAATAATAATACATTAGATAGAACTAGATCAAGTGGTGGAATACAGAAAGAAAAAAAAGAAAGAAAAATACAGTTCAGTAATGTTAGACGTTTTTAAAGATTTTTTTATTTTTTTATTATGTTAATCGTACCTATAAATCCAAGGCAAGCACTTTAAAACTGTTATTGACAGAAATGTAATAACCTTGTAAAACACAAAAAAATAAAGATATTAAAAGTTGAATAAAAGAATAAACGGAGAGATAGATTTTTCTTCTATTTTCAAAAGGAACAAATATTTTGGTTAAACTTAAATATTTATTACAAGGATAGTGATGAATAGTTTTGAAATGAACTTCTTTTTCTTTATTACAAAATGAAAAAAAAAAATTGTTGGGCACTGTCCATACCTTCTGAAAATTACCATTTGGGTAGAGTGCTAACATCTGCTGTAAGCTTTAGTAATTTAGATATTATTAACCATAATAAAACTGCAGAAATCCATTCATACATTTATATCCACAATACTAACTCCATGTATAAAAGGTTGATGGATATTCCTATTTTGTAAAATTTGACCAAGAACAGCAGATTAGATGCTTTCAAAACCATTAAAAATTTTTTTTTTAAAAACGAGAAATCAAAATGATTTTCTGTGGTATTCAACAGGATGCTGTCATAAATGCTGTCAACAGAGCAAAAGTTGTTTTTAATAGAACATTGCTTGTATCTCACCTGTTGATACTGCTGATTGTAGTTCTGTTGGTTATACGATTGTCCAGATCCTTGATTGTCATGGTAACCTTGCCCATAATCTGGGTATTGGTTGTAGCTGCCATAGCAGCCTTGGTTGTAGTTTCCTTGGCTATAGTTATCCTGGTTGTAGCCTTGATTATAACCCTGATTGTAGCTCTAAACAAAATGTGAGAACAAAACAAAAACATCAATCTCATGAAGCTAAATATCTGTCACAGATACATGGTTGTGTACAGACTCACTCTGCTATATCCCTCTTTGTTATAGGAGCCATAGGGGTTGTTAGTGTAGCTTCCTCCAGACTGATGGTTGCTGCTGTATCCATCTCGACGGTCTTTGTGATTCCCTCCCCAGCGGTTCGGATTGTAGCCATCACGGTTATAACCTGACAACATCAGAGAGCAAGAGGACGCCTCGAAAAACACTAATGACAGACTTTTTAATTAGTTGGCATGACACACTAATAAGGTCAATTCACCTCCTCTCAACCCTCCGTGGTTGTCGTACCGCTGGTAGCCGCTTTCACGTCTACGGTGTCCCCAGTTATCGAAGCGTTTCTCAGGCGGAGGCCCAGCCTTCCGGCCCTCCTCATTGTACCGTTCGACCAGCTCATCAGCCTCTTCTCTTTGCAGCGCAACGTAGGTCACTTCATCCAGGAAGTCTCCAACCTCTGGCAGCACAAAGTTGGCTTCAAAGCCACGGAAAGAGGAAAGAAGGTGGGACAGATCACACCACCAGAAGACAAAAAGAGAAACTTGATAAAATGCTGACTTCACCGACAGAATATTGCTAAAGAAGGGTGGGAAAATGATGCAAGAAAATAATTCGTATCAAAACAGAAGAAGTGTAAATCACGAACACTATTGCAAACCAAGTGCAACCTCAATAGCATGTTTGGAAAAAGGGATTTTTGGAACTAATGTGTATTTATTATGACTAAAAGGACAGTATTAGTATGAATTCTTATCTTTAATGAATTCTTTAAAAACAAGAATGCACTTGCTTGGTTTGCAGCATCTCGTGTATCATAAAGACATGGAGGTGAGGGTGGGATGATCAAAAGGACCCAATCAAACTGAGGACAGAGGTCCAACATATAAAGCCGTTTTCTTTGATGAAGTGATATGTGTCTTTAAAGTCTAATTACAAACCAAAAAGCAAAAGTGATGCAGATCTGTTATCTTCTCTGATTTCTATTGTTTCACATAGCAGCGCTCCTACCTTTCATTTCTAAAACAGCATGATCGGGCACATCCTTCCCTTCCTCATGAGTTTGCTTAAACGTTCGCTCTTTTAAATCCTCGTCCGTGGGACAAATTACAATAGCCTTGCGATGAAACCCTTCAAAAGGATGCATTTTTCGTCTCTGGGCTGATCCATATACATTTGTCTAGCAATAGTGAGAAGAAAGAAGCAGAAGCTGTTCATTATTGTGTGTTTTGTATTCTGGCTTTGCTTTTCCCAGGAGAAAATCTGGAACCCTGCAATGAAGTGAGAGTGGTTTTTCTTTCTTTTCTTGCACCTACTGATGGACTCTTACAACACCTCACACTTACCGTACAGAGGTGTCTGTGAGGACCTGGATCCTGAAACAAATATGTAACTAGGGACCCGCAGTTCTAAATTTGCCACATTTTTTTTCCCTTGAGTATATACAGTATATTCTAAACCCTGGGATAAATTAATTTATATGACTATAATTTTTAGTGTCAAAATGCTTTAAAAGAAAGAAGATTGAAATAGCTTAATGGATGCTTCCTTAGGAAGCCTTCCTTTTTGTTCCTTTGAAAACAGTTATAACAGTTAATATTTTATAATAGTTTATAAAACCCATTAAATATTTGAAAGCTTAACTTTCTAGTTTAAAGGTGACATGAAATTGAAATTACAATCATCTGCGATCATATATCATTGCGATGGGGACATTTTATGTGCTAGTTTACACATACAGACACAAGTAAAAAAAAAAATTTAAAAAAAGATGTGCACAGATGTGTATTTTATAATAAACACCGCAACATTCAATAAAAAAAATGTCAATTTTGATTTTGTTATTACTTTAACAAGACAATTTAGAGCATAGTCATTTTTTATTATTATGGCATTCCTACAAAAGCCTGATGTCAAATTGTAATAATCAGATTTCAGAGATAATTTCAGCTCCACCATGTGCAAAGTAGAATAAGGAACCAAAAAAAGACAACATTTTGTTTGCAATTATGTGCTCAAAAACCGATTAATGTGAAATTCGATACAAGACTCGAAAAGACTAAATATTTTATAACAATATTCTGTTCCACTGGCAGAGAAATACCAATATTCCAGAAATGTTAAAATAACAAAACAACATGAGAAAGAATACTTTGGTTTCAGTATATTATTTTATTATAATTCTATTCAGAACGGGTTCTCGCTTTTCAAAAAAATAAAAAATAAATAAATACATTTAAAATTCTCTGATATTTCCATGTCCATGGGAACCCAGAATGTTGTCTAGCTCATGTACAATAACCAGTTTAATTGTAAATTCAATTTAATACAATAACTGTATATTTAAGATGTAATGCAAATAAACATCATCTATACTCACAAAATACTTAAAATAAGAGCTAAGAAAAAAGCTTTCCTATTCTAAAAGGGTCTCCTTTACTTACCTTGACTCATGCGTCTCTTTGTGGTGCTTCAGGTCTATAGACAGACATATAGACATATATCACTTACCTGAGAATACTTACAGACTCAACAGTTTGGGTCCGTGTGACTCTACCTACCTTACAAACCAGCTCTGCCCTGAAAAACTAAGAAGGTTAGTTTTACCACTTACCTTGTTACTGAAACAGGATAATGGACATCTATTTAAAAGCAAGGCTATTTCTTATATTACTATTGCAACAAAACGTCTTTTTCTTACTCACCAGGCTGAGATTACTTGTCTCTCAGCATCTTAATACAGTCACGGGCTACCAGTACATTATCAGATAGGCTCACAGGAAATGCAAGATAATTGAAACGCTAAAAAGAACATGTTTGATGCTAACAAATATTCTAACACTTCAGTATACAATATTCAATCAAATACTGCTTCTTACAAATTAGAAAAAGAACATCGGAGCTCATTCATAGCTATGTCTTCACTGGGAATCACAGGAAGGTGTTTACAGTACCTGATCCAAAATGTAGTTCCGTCTTTTGCGGGCAGCAATCTGGATCAGTCGGTTCAGGCACTGAGTGGCCTGCTGAATCAGGATGTCCCAGCGCCCAGCATAGTTTCGCTGGCGACGCAATCCCATCATCTAAGACCATAACAGAACCATTTAAAGACCATAAAAGTTTTTTTTTTAGAAATATACACTAACGTTAAAAAAATTGGGGCCGGTAAGATTTTAATTTTTTTTTTAAATAAGTCTCTTATGTTCACAATTTATTTGATCAAAAACAATAATACTGTGAAATATTATTACAATTTAAATAACTTTTCTATTTTAAATATATTTTAATATGTAATTAGTATAATGTAATAAGTAAAAAAAGCATTTATTTAAAACAGAAATCTTTTGTAACATTATAAGTGTCTTCACTGTCACTTTAGAACGATTCAATGCATCATTGCTGAATAAAAGTTTTCATTTCTTTCTTTCAAAAAACAAACAAAAAAATCTCACTAAGCCCAAACTTTTGAACAGTAAATTGTATATTTTTATACAATTATTTACATCACAAAAAAAAACAAAAAAAAAACTGTTCCATTCGATTGCACTTGTTTTGGACCCAAAAACACGATTTCTTTTCAAATGTGAACAATAAAACACTTTTAAACATGCTGATCCTACCTTCATTTTCTCCATGATGGCGTTTGTGCCCAGGATGTTGTACTTCTTCTCTGGGTTCATCTTTGCATGCTTAGTGGCCCATGTGGTTTTACCGCAAGCAGGAAGACCAACCATCATCAGGACCTACAGACAAAAATTATATTCTCTGGACAGTACACATTTATTTAAGACCATATATACTACCATTCCACAGTTAGGGATGCTATGTTTTGTTAATGTTTTGGAAAAGTCTCTTATGCTCACCTAGGGAGAATTTATTTGATCAAAAATATAGTAAAAAATATTATTGTGAACTATTATTAAACAACAACAACAACAACAAAAACTTAATGACATTTATTCCTATAATGGCAAAGCTGATTTTTTTTGCAGATTTGATGCTCAAGTAACATCTTATGCCCGGTTCAGACTACACGATTTTAGCCCGATTTTGCCACGATTTGCTTGACGTCGGGTGTCGTGGGGATTCGTAAACGACAATGGGCGTCGGGACGCAAGATTCCATCGTTTCAGCTCGTGTAGTGTGTCATAGTGGACGACAACTGATTCCGCGTCTGCGATGCTTCACGACATCACGACAGAAAGACTAGCATGTTTAATTTTTTTCCCGTCGTCCACGACGAGTTCTGTCACATTGGTTATGCTGGCGAACTATAGCGGAAGTGCTATAGAAGTCAGTCGCTAGTTCCGCCTTCTCGATGACACCGCGCGCGTCGTTAAAGACGGCACGCGATGAATGGTCGGGAAGCAACGTGTAGTCTGACATGTTTCTTGTCCACGACACGACAAGATTTTAGGAGTCAAAATCGTGTAATCTGACACAGTGACTATCGTGACCGACAAAAATATCGTGTAGTCTGAACCCGGCATTACTGACCCCAAAATTTTGAACGATAGTGTTCTATCTAGTGTAAGATTTTGTCAAAAATGTCAAATATGACATATGTCATTTGTCTTAAAGATGATGTTATATAAATCTTTACTGCAAAGACAAAGTGAAACATAAAATCTAATGCTCACACTACCTGTACGGAGCTAATCAGGAGAATTTACCTCACAATCAGATTTGTTGGTGGGACCAACAGTTCCTCTGACCCTGTTCTCTATGTTGACAGCCCCGATGAATGTGTAACCATCTTGCAAAGGAAAGAACGGATCCGCTCGTTGCCCGAAGTTAAACCCAACAGAGCAGTTCTTCACCAGGATGTGAGGATACAGTGCACGACCAGCCAGTTCTTCTTTAGATACGTGAAATGCCACATCAAGCCACTTCCCGTTCTTTGAGAAAGCCATTTCCACCTGCTCATGACTGTCAAAGTCCTGTAAAAGACAAATATGAAACTGTTTATCATGTCAACTACTTTATTTAGGTAGTTAAATGTTTGTTATTTTGCTTTCCTTTCATTATTCTCTCAGTTCCAAAACCTAGTAAGCTGCCTACCTTGACAGAGGGTCCCATCCCAATGCTGTTCAATCAAATTAAAATTAGAGCATTTTATATATTTTTATTTTCAGATGAGCATCATATTGTTAGCGTAGCAACATGCTAATGCTAAACTCAATTAGAATCGATTTGTGCAACACCTGAAACTGCAGTCTATGTAGTCCGTTCCATATCAGTCACTTATAGGCATTTTATTTTATTTAAGATGACGCCACAAGGTGTTGTCACATTTACTGTTGATCAATGCATTTTGTACAAAAAGAAAGCAGTTAATGATAATACAAAAATAATAAACATCCAAAGCTATTCTGCCAGCTATTAAACAAACCAATCCTAAATAAGTGCTTTCCAAATAGCCTCTTTGTTTTATTCATCATTTTATAATATTAAAGTTTTATACAAAACTGGATGAGTAGATACTACTAGAATGAGTGCTTTGTATATTGAAGATCTTCAGTTTTGCTTTGCGTTACGAATCTCTGCCCACACAGAGATCACTGCCGAACCAAGAGGCTTACTATTGGTCAGCACTGTAAATTTGTGTTAAAGTTAATCAAACTTGAACCCAACACGAAATTTGCATAGTACAATTTCTTTTTCACTGTAAATCTATCAGGCAAAATTCTTCATTTAAATGATTTTGTTTGTGAAATTTCAAGTAGGTAAATGTGACTGCACCTTTATTTTGCAGTATACAGCAAAAAGTTGACCAGGTTTTGCAACAGAGCCACTTGTTGACAGATTCCATAATTTTGAAGAAGAAGAAAAAAATGAATAAAACTTAGAATAGCACTTACAATATAACATCCAATGACATCACTTTCACCAAATTTCTCTCCGTAATCTTCAAATTTGCAACAGGTAGACTTTTTCCCTGTTCCGCCATACCCATAAGAGACTGCCTCCTCTCCTGAAACAAAGTAATTCCCTACATAAGAACCCAGAAAGATCATTTCTATAACAAACCCTCGAAGTCTGTGAGTGTGCTTGTGATTCCTCACCAAGCTGTGTGCTGCAGGAATCCAGAGACCACCCGACTCTCACGACATGAGGGTCAGGCTCACTGCTGGGAAGATGCTTCACTGGTAGATATTCCAGAACCTCGAGGCAAAAACCAAGATTATGTAAACTATTAAATTGATTTAAACATTAACTACAGAGAAACAACTAATCTAAACTACCATTCAAAAGTATGGGCTCAGAAAGATTGGAAAGAAATTAATACTTTTATTCAGCAAGGGCAGATTAAATTGATAAAAGGAGACAGTTAAAGGGATAGTTCACCCAAAAATGTACCCCCAGGGCATCCAAGATGTAGGTGACTTTGTTTCTTCAGTAGAACACAAACTGAGATTTTTAACACAAACCATTGCAGTCTGTCAGTCTTATAATGGAGGTGAATGGGAATCACAATAAAACTTAAAAAAAACATGCACAAACAAAACCAAATTAAACCCTGCGGCTCGTGACGATACATTGATGTGTAAAGACACAAAACGATCGGTCTGTGCAAGAAACTGAACAGTATTTATTTGTTTTTATTTATTACAGACCATTGACACTATCTACAATCTCAATTAGGAGTGTCAATGGTCCACTTGAGAGATAGGTGGCGGTAATGCACTTATAAGTCTGCGATCCACATTAAAGCAAGAAGAAGAAGAAGAAGAAGAAGAAGAAGAAGAAGACGCCTCACGCGCCTACTGTTGAGAACGCGCTCAGGAGGATGCGCCGCTGCTCAGGACAGTTCGAACATTTCGGACATTGCGTGAATCAGAGGTAAAAAAACTATATAAATACTGTTCAGTTTCTTGCACAGACCGATCGTTTTGTGTCTTTACACATCAATGTATCGTCACGAGCCGCAGGGTTTAATTTGGTTTTGTTTGTGTATGTTTTTTATTTGTTTTATAGTATGTTTTAGCCGTGATTCCCATTCACCTCCATTATAAGACTGACAGACTGCAACGGTTTGTGTGAAAAATCTTTGTTTGTGTTCTATTGAAGAAACAAAGTCACCTACATCTTGGATGCCCTGGGGGTAAGCAGATAAACATCAAATTTTCATTTTTGGGTGAACTATCCCTTTAAGACATTTATAATATTACAAATTATTTCTATTTCAAATAAAGGCTGTTCTTTCTATGCATTAAAAAATCCTAAGAATGGATGTATCACGGTTTCCACAAAATATTAAGCAGCACAACTGTTTTCAACATTCATAATAATAAGAAATATTTCTTAAAGGGTTAGTTCACCCCAAAATGAAAATTCTGTCATTAATTACTCACCCTCATGTTGTTCCAAACCCGTAAGACCTTCGTTCATCTTCGGAACACAATTTAAGATATTTTTGATGAAATGTTAGAACTCTCAGACCCTGCACAGATAGCAACACAACTGTAATGTGCCCAGGTCCAAAAACGTAGTAAGGACATCGGTAAAACAGTCCCTGTGACATCAGTGGCTCAACTTCAGTTTTGCGAAGCTACGAGAATACTTTTTGAGCGCAAAGAAAACAAAAATAACAATTTATTTAACAATTCTTCTCCCCCGAGTTACATCTTCCTCCATTTTGGAGAGTACCCAAGAGCGTAATCGACGTAATCAGCGTTGTTTACGTTCGGGGGAGAAAGCGCGCATATGAACGTAATCTGCGTAATCAGCGTTGTTTACGCTTAGGGGAAAGATTGCGTATGCATTGTGATACTCTCTAAAATGGCGGAAGCAGGGTTTCTGCAGACATGAACAAGTTAAATTTAAGACTTTTTAAGACCTTTTTAATACCACCTTATATGAAATTTAAGACCTAAACCTGTAATGGAAATACACATTTTATTACATTAATATTTAATGTGTATAAATTAAAAAGAAAACAAAATATCTTCATATTCTGTGTGGTGGTCAGATAGAAATTTATCTTTTCCAATAAGTTTAAATAGATTTTTATCTTTTATGGGCATTTTACCTTTATAAAGCCATTTTTCTATAAGTGTGCATTACCTTTTGAGTCAAATTCTTATATTTAATCACTGAATTAGAATAATAAGACATTTGGGCTGTTACCAAGCAAATGAAATCAGTATCAACAAAATTAATCTTTGCAATCCAGACATAAGCTGCACCTGAATTGGCATTTAGATGTGTTTACACACTGTTTAATGCAGAACATGAATGCATTTAACCTGCAGTTACAAATGCATAAATAATGTTTTCATATATTAAACATAAAACATTGAATTACTGATATTTGAAATAATAAAAAAAATGAAAATATACTTTAAATGTGAAATTACAACCGCCAGTAGGTGGCAGCAAGTCACTGTTAATAAGTGATTCATTGCGACTGAACCAAATCATTTAAACGAGTGATTCATTCAGGAACGAATCACCATCATGTTGCTCAAAGACGCAAAACAGTGCTGTGGCTTTGTTTGGAAAAAAAAATAATCTATCACATTTTTATATGGTAATTTATGGAGAAAAAAGGCACTCTTCCGTGTGAAATTGATGAAAAACTATATGAAGTGGTATAAATATACACATTTTCTGCCCCTATGTCTTGAATTTGTGATCATTCTGAATGTATTTTAAAGGGGTGGTTCACTGCGATTTCACTTTTTTAACGTTAGTTAGTGTGTAATGTTGCTGTTTGAGCATAAACAATATCCGCAAAGTTACGAAGCTGAAAGTTCAATGCAAACGGAGATATCGTCTTTTAAAATTCTGGCAGTTTAATGCCTACAAAAACAGCTGGTAGGGACTACAACCAGCGTGGTCCGTACCCATATGAAGTACCTATAGGCTGGATGTTTCTCAAAGGCGAAAGCGCTGTGATGTGAGGCTTTTAACTCTGAGAAGAACAACAGGGGGTCTTTTAAATTCAGATCAGTACTGTCACTACTTCAGCACAGACACAAATATGCACAAACACAATCAAAAGCAGCCGTTAATCCGCGCAGACACTCACTGTTGTTGCGCACTTGGTTTTGTTTTGTTTGAATGTCATCATTAACATCAAATAATTTTTTTCTATTCAATTTTTTTGAGATTTGACAACTCGATCTCATGGCAATTCTTGCATATATTACGAGGTGGCTAGCAAAAATCATATGAAATTGTATGAGTGAGGTCATATGAATTTGTAAGATTTTTGCTAAATCGTACGTATTTTACGAGTTCCCCAATTCGTATGAATTCGTACGAATGACTTACCCCTAACCCCGCCCCTAAACCTACCTGTAACTGGAGTCTAGACAAATCGTACAAAATCGTACGAGTGAGGTTGTATGAATTTGTACGATTTAGCCACCCTGTAAAATATGTACGAATTGGTTGTGAGATAGCATTGGACTTGAGACTAAGGCTCGAAATATAGCGTGCATATGGGTTTTATTTAATTTTTTTATCGTAATTTTGATAGTGTTTTATTGTGCATGTGAATATTCCCATTGGTTTTCAGTTGGTTTGTGAGTGAACTCTATACACCAGTTCAAATGTGTAGAATTAAGAATGAGATTTGAGACTTGCAAGTTTTAAATATAGTGAACACACATTAGTTAGCACAGCGATCATTAGTTTTTATAGGGAAGTCATCAAATCTGCTAGACAATTTTTGCTTTTTTTGCAATTGCTCTCACATCTTTACTGACAAAAGTTTGAAATGTGAAATGTAATTATTTAAAAATTGTTTATAGTTTGCGTATTATAGTGCATATAAATGCCCATAGATGCCAAAACATCATTGGTTCTCAATTGGTTTATGAGTGAATGCTACACGCCAATTCAAATGTATAGAATTGTGAATGAGTCATTTTTTATCATACACAATATTAATTTTTAGACTGAAAAGAAGATTTTGGATTGTTCAAACAGCATTTTTGGAAAGTGTTCACCCGTAAATGTGTCAAAGACTGACAGAGAGAATAAATTGTTGAAGAAAGTTTTTTTTTTTTATTTGCACAAAAATATTTTCGTAGCTTCATAACATTGCGGTTGAACCACTGATGTCACATGGATTATTTTAACAATGTCCTTACTACGTTTCTGGACCTGGGAACATTACAGTTGCTGTCTATGCAGGATCTGAGAGCTCTCACATTTCATCAAAAATATCTTAATTTGTGTTCTGAAGATGAACAAAGGTCTTACGGGTTTGGAACGACATGAGAGTGAGTAATTAATGACAGAATTTTCATTTTTGGGTGAACTAACCCTTAAAGCACCAAATCAGCACATGATTTTTGAAGTTTCACGTGACCCTGAATACTGAATAATGGCCGCAGGAATAAACTACATTTTAAAATCGAAAGAGAAAATAGTTATTTTACATTGTAATAATATTTTACAATATCACTATTTTGACTGCATTTTGATCAAATAAATGCAGCCTTGGTAAGCCTAAGAGTATAAACATAAAAAAAACATTACAGACCTCAAACTTTTGAACAGTAGTGTTCATTACCTTCAGCTCATAGCACACGTGTCCCTTATTTACACCATATGTTGCTCGTGCTCCAGACCATAGGTAAGCAAACCCCTCGATGGTTAAAGGATAGCCGCTGCAACGGTCTCGAGAGACTTTGAAGTGCAAGTCGCAGTTATCTGTTGAGGTTTACAGAGAGAATTCCATTATTATGACTATTATAGAGACATCATAAATCATAATTACACAAAACAAGCCCTCACATACAAGCATCAATGACCACTAGTGTGCCATCAAAGTCTTCCTCATCCTCTTCAGCAGGAGGCAGAGTTGAGTGGGACCTGTGATTAAGAAAATCACAATGTAAATGTAATAGCACTTGTTAGTGTGCATTAAGTCAAAATCCTAATGCCGATATAGGATTAAAACAAAAGCATTGTGGTAAATTCACCTCCTGTCTTCACGGTGTTCATAATAGCTGTAACCGTGGCTTTCATCATAGTGCCTCTTGTGGCCATAATGTGCATGTGCGTCTTGTTCAGTCTTGCTTTCTGCATTCTGTTGGCTCTCTTGATCTTCCCATTCACTGCCGGGGTCAGAACGCTGCTGTTCTTGTTGCTCCGTCTTTATCTCATTCTCATTTTTCACCTTTACTGGTGCCACTTCATGTTCTGTGAAACAATAACATGGCTCTAGACAAAAAAAAAAAATCAATTAAGGAGCCATTGGCTCCTATAAGAAACAAAATTAGACGCCAAATAATTTTTTTAAGTGCCACAGAATAAACGCGTTGTATTTATTTATTTATTTTAACACATCAACATTTTAGTCATACTGTCATGTGTTTATGTCTCATCTTTTCTTGTCTTTATCAGCATTTTAATCCATCTTGTAGATGTCCTGGGAACTAAGGTTCACTTAAACATCTTTTCCAACTTGAGAGTCTCAAAGAATTGTTTATTACACAGAATCTGTGCCAATATCGCAGACCATAATTATTTCAGCATCACGTGGCCATTGGATGTAGTTTGGGCTCCTCCTCAATGCATCCTATAAATGTTGTCATACATCTTGCACACATCCAGTCTGTTTTTCTTCATTAGTAACATGCAACTATATAAGAGGTGTTGAATTTTACCTTTAGCTCCTTGCATTCTTTCTTATCACGCAGACAACAGGTTAAGTAAAAATATGAATATGCGATATAGTACACATATTTAGCAAAATGCTCCTCTTTATAGTTATATTTTTCTAGCTGATTGATGAGCTTATAGACGCCGAATGGTTATTCTGAGGTAAATGTATTGTTGCGTGGCATTGTTTACAATCTTTACACATTTTCCACAGTTTGAAACACTGCATGAGCGATTACATGAGACATTTCAGTAAATTGTACTGTATCTTATAATTTACCTTTTGATGTCCATTCATGTTTATTTCGTACTATAGTAGTAAAGAGAAAGATATGATGGGTTCACATGCCGCTTGAACTGAGGTGCTAAAGCGATCGCTCATGCCACATTAAAGAGTGACGAAACAGTATTCATTGTTTGCATTTCGTTATGAATTTGGCAGAATTTTAAAGCTGATACTTTGTGTATTAAAAGGTAACCGGGCACAAAGCATATTGAGATTACTGGACGGCAAGTGTGCTACAAATAATATGAAGTTATCGCATTAACAGAACACAACATTAGGCCTGTCACAATAACAACTTTTTGTTGTGCATAGACTTGTGCCGGTATTCGGTAATGCGATATATCACGGTAATGAATATGCACTATATTGTTATCGTGGGCACTTCTAAATACCGTGAATAGTGCAATATATTGAAATTGATATATTGATTACCCCAGAAGTAATTGTGATAAGCGATATTATTGTCATTTTAAAGACCATTTTATGCCACTGAATATATAATCATAATGTAACAGCATAATAATGCAAGAAGGCCTACACACTTCCAAATTACAACAAACTTTACATTTTTAAGAATATTTAGATCATGGAAATGAAGTATCAAAACATTAGCTTGAATAAATAGTAAATAAACATTTTCTAACAAAAAGTGCAAAGTAACTAGTACAAAAAAAGAAAAATGCACAAAGAACTTGTATGGAGATTTTTCCCTGACCTTCCTTTCTCTGTAAATTAAGGGTGCACACTATTGATGGAAAACACAATCACTACTTAGCAGTCAGATGTCCGTATGCACAAAGGCACAGATCCCTATAAACACAGTGACATTAATTTATAAGTAAATATAATGGGCGATATATTGCGTCACCAAAAATTATTGAGGTCATGTACATATACTGCGCGATAATTCGATGTATTGATTATTGCGACAGGCCTACACAACATATAGACTAAAGATCTTGAAAACAAGAATCCATATTAGTAACTTATCGATTATAAACGAGAATGGTCAACGATATTGCTAATGTCCAGACAGCTGACTGCTTTACCTGTTGTAGTTTGCTCAAGCTGTGCACGAAACAGACACTGCTTTTCTGCACTTTTACTTCGCACACCTCCGTTATTTTCAATCTCTCTCATGCTGTCACAACTGGAGCTGCTTTTAGCAGGTGTTTGGCAGTGATGAGGACTGTTTTTCCACAACATAAAAGATGTGATCGCAAAACAAGCAGGAAAAAAAGACATTACGTGCAAATTTTTAAATCATAACATGTAAATTTATATAGTCGCCAGTGGCAATTTCAGCAAATATATCACTCGCAAATTAATATTTTTGGTTGCGAATGCGACCGTTTTTTAGGTGCAGTCTGGAGCCCTGAATAAAATATTCAATATAAAGCACAGGTTCTCAACCAAGGGGCCTCAGCAAGCTACGCCTCAGCAAACGTCCAAAGGGGCCTCAAGATGAATTAAAATGATTTGAAACAAGACAAAACAAGCATTAGAATATAATACACTAAAACTAATAAAATGAGTAAAACACAACAAAAGATTGGAGTTGTACTGCTGTGTTACAGTGGAAAAACAGAATTTTAACCACTGATTCTTTGCAGCCTCATCTTTCGAAAGTGAAAATAAAACGAATTTACTCGTATTCATCTCGACTTGAAGTTAACCACACAAACAAGCTACAGTGTTTGTGGGTGGGTCAAGTTGTTTGCGGCCGGCTAATGTAAAACATAGGTGGGCATTATGCAAATGTGCTGTGACGTGTAGCCATCACGGAAGTGGGATGCGAATTACTGACAACTCGTTTAGACTGTTCAGAGTCTATTCTTTCTTTTGGGAGAAAATAACTTTTTATCGTGTAGTGGTAGACTGATATAATGCCAAGGTTGATATTTAGCATTTTTTAAATTATTGACATCAGCCTTTAAGTTTTTCTGTCTAGTCAATAAATGTCGGAAACGGGATTTTAGTTTTTACAGCGCCGTGAACGTGCAAACTGGATGCAGACAGGAGAGTTCTGCTGTCACTCAATACGCATCAATGACAAACTTTAAATCCTTGATTTCTATGCTGCGTTGTATCCAGTTGGCCGTCATGTAATATTCACTGTGTAATTTATGTAAAATTAGCATTACCTGGTCTTAATTTGAGAAAATAACAAATTTGAGATTTACAAGATTACTGAGTGTACTGTCGCTTACTGTTTACTTCCTTTTATTCATGTTTTTAAATGTCTATTTGTGAAAACTATAAGAAAATAATATGTTAAAATAACAAGCTATTTTTTCATATTGAAACATTTCAAAATGATTTATTTCTAATTTAGTAAACATTATGTAAAATAAACATAAATTTCACTGCAGCATGTTATTTGCCACCTTTAAATTGAGTTTACACACACACACACACACACACACTGAGCTCATTTTCTCAACTGTGCTGCTTCTCACACAAGCACTATTGTGCGCAATTCATAATCTCATACTATATATATATAAGAGCTATAAATCTATATCGTTTGACCACTAGAAAATATCATAACTCGTAATTATGTTTACATGAACAAGCCTGAGAGTCAAAAAAATCTAAATTGCTGATGAAATCCATTCAAACTCAAAAATGCCAGCTGCAGTCTTACCCTCCTTGGAGATTGTCTCAATGATTGCCTGTTGTACATTCACAGTCTCTGGTTTATTTTCATCTTTAGGGACTTCAGAAACACTGGGGTGTATATCAGAGCCCTCTTTCTCACCAGCCATCTGCCCTTGGTCAGAAAACTCATCATTCCCAGCCTCTGCAACACCTGTCACAGGCAAACATGCAATGAAACCAGAAACGTTTCAGCCGAATGCGTTTTTCATCATCATTAGTCAAAACATGCATCAAATGATCTTGTCAAATGCAAACTTGAGAACCTGCTTCTGTCTCATCATTGCAGGTGGGTTCCTTTTCAGCCTCCAGAGCCGCCTGCAGCCGCTCAATCAGATCCACTTTGAGGCCTCGGGTGTCCAGTCCACGCTTCTGCAACTCCTCTTTCAGCTCATTCACTTTCAGTTTCTTCACATCCACACTCATCATGCATGACATAAGAGGAGATCTCCCTCCCAAACCTGCCAAAATGGATGTGAACCATGACGGTTTCCAAAACATCAATAAATGCTGATGCATACATATCCACAGTTGTGCTTTAGAACGTTAGCTAATTTTTAGCATCTGTCTAAACTGGTCACTAGCTGACTGATTCAAAAACCAGCTTAACAACCTTGTTGCTGATCCAACATGGTCTTCCAGCTTGCACCACCTAATGACCAGCTCAGACTTGTTAGAAACCAGTTATCATGTTTCAGAAACCAGCTAGACCACTTTATGATCATGTGATAGCTGGTTTGTTGCTGGTCCAAGATGGTCTATCAGCTTTATTCAGTTAATAACCAACTTGGATCCGCTAATGGCCAGGTTAGACCAGATAGAAACCAGCTATTATTTCCCAAAACACAGCTACTAGTTTAAACTGACAGGGTGGGTCATTTACACAGCTAACTGGCTAAATCACGTGCACACATAAGTTGTGTAGTAAATGCATTGGCAAACAAGCACATCTACTATAATTCAGTAAATGCATTCACATTATGATGTGATATAATGAGAAATGACACATGCACATGTCTGATTTGTCAAGCTACAAAAAAACATGCTGTGCCAGCTAACTCGGCTCATGTAATTTGACGTGCATTTCTCTAATGAAAATTCTAATATGTCAGTTAAAAAGGTGTCATGGGCTTACCACAGCAAAAGCTCTTGTTTAGCTGAAGAAGTGTGTTTGAGTGGTGTAAACGCAGAACTACAACACCGCGGGGGCTTCAGTACAGAGCAGCAGAAGACATACTGAATGTTGTTCATGGTGTTTGAGTACTGTCACCTACTGGACACATCTAGAATATACCGATGGTTTACAAGCAAGAGATTGAATTTCTTCTGGACAGACGGTACATGCCTTTATTCAGTTCATCATCCATCCCAGTCAATGTGTACTAATGTTACTCTTTTGTTCATCTAATACCCAATAAAATATATAACAAATAATATAATAAATAATACCTTTGTATAAAATATAAATATTTCATATTTAAGGATAAAATCATTTTTGTAGAAAAACTGAAGCGTCTTTACTAAACTAACTTAATATACCACATTATTGATTAATCATGAAGTGCATGAAAACTTACATTGTCAGGGTTTCCCAAACAGGGGGTGATGAAGGAACTGCAGGGTCGTGAAAAGCTAATAATTAGCCTAATTAAATCTTTAAAATTTTAAATTACACATATGCTGTGTGGCCTCTCAATATTCACCTGACTAGTGGCTGGTCTGAGTGTGCAATTCTACAAAACTTTCTGAAAAAGTAACAGGCTTTTTTTTTTTTTTTTAAGGAAAATTCAGAATCACTAAGAATTCATATGTTATGAATATGAATTCTTTACAAATTATACAAATTATTTTGTAAAACAAAATAATGTAATTTCATGTTTGGAATCTGATTATGTAATGCAGTTACTGACAAGCAATATATATATATTTACACCTGTCAAAAGGTTGGAAACATGATTTTTAAATATTTTATGTTGTCTCCTATGCTCACAAAGGCTGCATTTACAAGGGGTATAGAGGGGTATATTTCCTGTGATGCAAAGCTGAATTTTCAGCAGCCATTACTCCAGTCTTCAGTGTCACAAGCCTTGAATAAAGTGAAAAATTAAGTGCTAAAACTTTACAAAAAAAAACCATCAGAATATTTCACTTTATTTTACAATCATAAATATGCACCCATATACACATGCCATATTAAACACAGCAGTCATTTATTGTAATGAGGACTTTCTTGCAGGACACACAGAGACGGCTCTCTGTTTCCTATATCGAGGGACACATCCATATTTACTATATGGAATTTGTCATTCAAGTATCAAAAATTCAAGTGCATTTTCAAATCATTAATAAATGATGAATGCCCAACTCCATCAGCATCTTATATGAAGAAAATGTTATGAAATAACATCCAAACTGATGAGCAGAATAATAAGTGGTCAAATGTTGGCAATGGTTTAACAGTGTCATCAAAAAACTAGAACTTTTGACTGAAAACAGCATCATCTAACCAAACAAATAACGAATAGGAAGCTTTAATTGTGTTATACTGGTGGCCAGTCACTTAATCACACACAAACTCTCTGTTCCTTCCTCGTTTATATAGCCTGGGTGTTTCCTTGTGTGTGTGTGTGTGTGTGTGTGTGTGTGTGTGTGGGACGGCTTAACCAAGACTTTGTGTGTGTGTGTATATATATGGCAGTGCTGCACCCCTACTGATATGCTCTCATAAATCAGTCTCTTTGCCCTTCAAAGAAAGGGCGTATTTTAGTGATGCACATTGTTACTTGGTACTTGGAGCCACTGGGAGGGACAACAGAAGTCTATTAACCTCTCTAATCTGGGCATCCAGTGTCTCTGTGGCTAGCGCAAGCTCTCCTAGTTGTGTCTGAAGATTGTTAATGTTTTGTGCAAGCTCCTCTTCTTTGCGTCTGGAGTTGGTGGCCTGGCGGCTGTACTCAAGCACCATGCAACCTCCGCCGATGATGAAAATGATAGCCTCACCGAGCAACTCTGCTCCAAGCTCTGCAGCTGCCTCTTCATTCAGAGGTTTGATGACGGAGCCACGGAAACCCATAATTTTCATCTTTGTTCTCATCTCGATCCAGTGATATGCTACGGAGAAAACATGAGTTACCACATGGAATTACATGACAGACTTATTTCAACAATTTACTTTAAAAGTTAAGATACACTTTGGTTTTGCCTTCATGCTCAAGATATCCAACATAACAGAGACAACTGTATAAAAAATATAATATTAAAAAAGAGACTAGCATGTAAAAAAAACTATATATGTAAAAAAAAAAATATTAAAATATACTAGTATTTATTTTACTATATGAAAAGAATAAATCATAAAAATATTTTAGAAAGGCACAATTGATTTAATTATCATTACATTAACTACTTCTGCCTGAAAAATTATATACTGTACAAACAAGACTACATAATATAACCAAAGAAAAAGCACATATTAGACATAGTTCGTATTGCTTTCATATTATATATACATTTAATAATACTTAAATTATCATTTTATATACATTTTTATAAAAATATAACAATATATTACTTTGTAACATTAAATTATCAAATAATTTCAACAAGCAGCAAAAGGTACTTTCAGTTACTCGCTGTACCCTCAATGACACTTGAGTCCCGCCCTCTTTAAGCAAACTCAAACCTCATTTGTCTAAAGGGAACATTCTTTCTAGTATCTCATTGGTCTCTGGATAAACCTGTTGTTGAAAACATCCAATGACAACATCGCAGCAGTCGTGATTGGCAAAATAACAAATAAACGCAAACGGCTATTGGCTGTGTGTTCCTTCGTTCCTTTACGGCCACAGACACCCTTATCATACGGACTGACATCATCATATCGTTAAACACGAACAACCAAATGCCAGCTTACCTTGGGCCGGAGGAAGGCAAATATAATTCTTAAAGAATTCACTTCTCCGCGCGCCTGCTTTTATTCTATTAGCCACTGGTTTGCTCAATTGTCGTACGCCCAGATAGAGCATCTTTGCAATTGGAAAGGCACCGACAACCATCTTGGCGGAAAATGCGTCATCTGAGGAGGCGGGATGATAAGGACGTCATGCGGACGATGCTCATGTGTAATATTAATGACGCAATATTAATATTCATGAGATCTAGAACGTGCGTTTTGGCACAATACTAAAAATAATTATTTCTTTTATTTTAAGGGGAAAATATATCCCCGATCGTCCTTTGTTTTTTTTAAAGGTTATTCCCCCAGTTGTTAAGTAGCTTATATTTATAGTACATGGACATTTTTACAAACCAAAGTATTCTAAATAGCTCTAAAATAAATACATAAAAACAATCACGGCACAAATAAGAAACAAATAAATCTCTCAGCGCCCATTACAGCGCATTGTTTACCTGCGCCAGCTGACACCTGGGTCGGGTTTCAGAAGCAGTGGGCTGGACTGAATAGCTCAGAACTTCACAGGCAAGAGTTAAACACCGTTGAAATGTTTTCCAGCTAGTCATGTAACACATCCACGCTCAGCTGGACTAAGTTCTAGGACTTTACTGCAGGACAACCTCACAACTATTACAGCTATTCAAGGTACAGGAAAGGATTTGTGTTATTGTGCTTTTGACTGAGGCGGCCTTGAGAAGGCGATTTGGATTGTACAGCGGACTCGGTCGTATCCGTTATGCCAGGCCTTTTTAGGAACGTTTTTAAGTATTTTTAAAAAACGTGTACTATATCGAAAGTTTTTTTAAAGGCGCCTTTGTGTAAGGAGGTGTACGAGGAGGAGTCAGAGGCGCTTTAATGGAAATCAGATGTCTTGAAAACCGCACGAAGGAGCTTTTGAAGTCGGTGCTCATTGAACTGTCCACTGAACAATGTATTATTCATTATTCAACCTGAATGATGTCTTTGAATCACACAAAAGCTTATTCAACCTTTTATTTATTTAGTAATACTGTAGTTTGTAGTATGTTATGTAGGGATTATGCAATTTGGCTGACGATTAATTGTCTAAAAATAGTCACGGTTATTACGATTAATTGTCTGTTTTAGGGCTTTGGCGATTATGACGATTAATTGTCTGTTTTTTATGGCTTTCATTATATAATTGTGATTAATTTAAGGGTTCAGTAAATAATAATGTTGTTATCTTTTAATCTTTTTTGAGTTATTATTTTGCAGTGTATGATTACATAGAGTATTCTAAATTCTAAGAATCGGCCAATCCAACACCAGCACTATTTTTTTTTCTACACCACTTCAGAATATCAATACTGTGTTTGTGGAACTAATGGTCACTCTTTTTTTAAACCCTTTGTTAAACATAATCCATTAAATACTCACGTCCTCATTACAGAGGAAAAACTACATTTGAATAAATATATATATAAGCTATGCCTATGAAATTAAACTAGCTGACTGTATAATTTAGCAGCAAAAACAATATCTTGATAAAAAAATCTTTGGTGCACATTATACAATTTAAACATGTTTATGCTTCAAACAGAGCGGCACAAAGCTCTTATGCACATCTAGGGTACAGAATGATGTGCTTGAAGTATCAAAAGTTACGGCATGCTGCACTCTACACGGTACAAACAAAGAGAAGAGAAATGAGAGAGCAATGAACTCCAGCAAGATGTCATTTTATGCGAATCCCCAGACCTTTATCTACACATCAAGTATTATAATGGGGAATATATCATCTTGGAGAGAGAGTTTTACCTTGCTGTCATAACTGAACATGACGTGCTGTTTGAATGCTGAGCGGAGAATGACTGACAGCTGCAGCAGAAGGAAGATGAGTTTCTGTAAACTTAAAGGGTTAGTTCACCCAAAAATGAAAATGTGCCTGTGTTTAACTCACCCTCGAAGTATCCTAGGTGTATATGACTTTCTTCTTTCAGACGAATCCAGTCGGAGTTATATAAAAAAATTGTCTTGGCTATTTCAAGCGCTATCAGTGCAGTCAGCGGGTGTTGCAGTTGAACAGTCCACAAGTCGTCAAATAAAGCTCACGCATCCATAATAAAGCGTGCCTCACATGGCTCCGGGGGGTGAATCAAGGCCTCCTGTAGCGAATCCATGTGTTTTTGTAAGAAAAATATCCATATTTCAAACGTAATAAACACTTTTCTCTCACTTCCGGTTTCTGTCATACGCGGAAGCAGTTCCGGCGGAAGAAATTGACGTTGCGTGATTAGTGACGAGCGCGGAGAGAGAACAAAACAAAACTCCGGTCACGAATTAGAGTTACAAACCGAGGATTTGTAAAGAAAAATGTCGGAGGATTTCGATATAAATCAAGAGGAGACTGGTTTTCCTTTGCTCCTATAAACATACGTGCTGCGTCATCCGCCGGAATTGCTTCCGCGTATGACAGAAACCGGAAGTGAGAGAAAAGTGTTTATTACGTTTGAAATATGGATATTTTTCTTACAAAAACACATGGATTCGCTACAGGAGGCATTGATTCACCCCCCGGAGCCGTGTGAGGCACGCTTTATTATGGATGCGTGCGCTTTATTTGACGACTTGTGGACTGTTCAACTGCAACACCCGCTGACTGCAATGACAATTTGTAATATAACTCCGACTGGATTCGTCTGAAAGAAGAAAGTCATATACACCTAGGATGCTTCGAGGGTCGCGCTGCGCATACGTGCTGCGTCATCTGCCGGAACGCCTTCCGCATATGAAAGATACCGGAAGTGAGAGAAAAGTGTTTATTACGTTTGAAATATGGATATTTTTCTTACAAAAACACATGGATTCGCTACAGGAGGCATTGATTCACCCCCCGGAGCCGTGTGAGGCACGCTTTATTATGGATGCGTGCGCTTTATTTGACGACTTGTGGACTGTTCAACTGCAACACCCGCTGACTGCAATGATAGAGCTTGGAATAGCCAGGACAATTTTTAATATAATTCCGACTGCATTCGTCTGAAAGAAGAAAGTCATATACACCTAGGATGCGTCGAGGGTAAGTAAAACACAAGCTAATTTTCATTTTTGGGTGAACTAACCCTTTAAATTTAACAATGTAAATACAATTATGTCCCTCACATTAAGATATGGAATGGCTTCAGATGATATAGGCTATACAGTGCATGAAAAGCAAACTGGTGCTCTTCTGTTTCTTTTGGTGTATGACGAGCCTTGTGCCGTAAAAAGCACAATAATCGCAGTTGTCTGAAACAACCAAGGTTGGATCAAATAATCGCGATTAGATGGTTATTTAATTATCGCGACAGGCCTAATGTTATGTTGTTATGTTGTGGTTTGTTATAATATGCTGTTCAGAATATTAATACATAAAGCGTCCTGAATAAGGCCTGTCAAGATGAAACACGTTTTTAGCAGTGTTAATTAATTATTATTTATGATACTTAAATTTTTTTAATATATATTTTCCTTTTATATTTTGTATAAAGGTTCAATAAACTGTTATATTTTTCTGACTTGGGCTATATTTCACAGGATTAAAGATGTTAACTGATTGTAATATGATACATTGTTCTGAAGCAGGTCAGTAATAAGCACCTTCATGTCATTTTTGAGCAGGGTTGGGAATGGGTCCGGCATACAGACCTGATTTACCATTTGACTAAATGCTGTCAGACCCGGAACCAGCTGAACTGCATATCTTGTCTTATCCTGTCCTGCTACAACTTGTTCTGAGTTTTCTGGCTCCCAGCTTTTCTGGGACTTTGTAAACACTGACAATTTGCATGTTGGTTCAGATGCATGCCAGCCAGTCATTGTGTGCACTGCGGTTTAGGTTTTAAAGGTTGGATGCAGTCAGGGTGGATTTCTTGTGTCTTGGATGTCTTGTGTGATTCACAAGGAATGTAAAGCTTGTAATTTCAAAGACTTGAGAGATTCCAGAGGCAAATGTTACTTGAGACAAATTAGAGTGCCACAGGGCTGCACAAAAACAAACATCCCTTAAACAGAAGTTACTAACTAGTATCATAGGTCAAAGACGGTTATATAAATTTATATATATATATGTGTGTGTGTGTGTGTGTGTGTGTGTGTAAACCCACCTATAGTATCAGGATGACTAACAGGTTTTTGTCAGAATGTTCTGTAACGGCCATCATTGTCTGAAATTTAACCTGACACCCAGTCACTCCCCAGTCTTGTCAAACCAAACTGTTACACCAAATCTGATAAAATGTCTTGATTTCTGAGTTGATAATTCGACATTTCAACAGTGTCAGGAGATGCAATAGGCTTGGCAGTTGCTGATCTGTGTGATTTTGCATATGATTTTGTGTAGATTTTTCAGTATTGGGAGTTTTATTTCGCATCACTAATTTGATCATTTACTCACCCTCATTTTATTCCAAACCTGACTGACTCTCTTCTGTGGAATATTTTGAAGAACATTCAGTGACTATCAATGATTCAGTTAAAACACTTTTACATAATATTCACATATTTTTCAAAATATCTTCTTTAGTGTTCCACAGAATGATGACAGAATTGTCATTTTGGGGTAAACTATCCCTTTAAGTTTTGTCACAGGAACATTCCGCCCACAGTTTTAGGAGTGCATCAGTGTGACAGTGGGGTGAGGCTCGTAAGATCCAAGTGTTTTGTATCCACTCAGTGGTCCATGTCATGATAAAGGTTGTTGAGCACAGAATGAACTGCTCTTGAGTGTCCGCTCCCCCTCAGAAGCAGCCTTCTCAAGGTTTTGAAATAAAACCGAAATCCTGTTAGTTCCGTACTTATTGTCATCTAAAAAGACCCTTGTAATCAATGCTGATCCTTTAATTGTGAGAGCAATGTTCTGAGCTTTTGTGCTGGCCAGTGTTCAATATTTGCATATTTGTTTAATAGATTTTTGTTCTTCATCTGATGAAACTCCTGCTCTGTCTTAGCTGGTTATAAATCATTACACCTTTTTGGCAAGGCCCTATAAATTCCAAACCTGTTACATGCTGTTTGAATTCATGCTCTTAATTCATTCTTATCAGGTAGACCAGGGGTTTTCAACCTTTTAGGACATGGGCCCCCCCAAGTTTGTCTAATTTCACTCGCGCG